GAAAAGGCATATCAAATTCGTTTAAAATAAGCAGGAAGAAAATTGCCCTAGGGTGCATATTTGGGTTATAGAGCATTTTTTTATACAAGGAATGGGGAGGGACTGCTAATGGATATGGGGGTGAGGGGGCTTACATGAAAATACTTTGGAATTAAAAATAGTGATGATGGTTGCACAACCATATTTGTGAAAATATAAAAACCACTGAACTGTACACTTTAAAATGGGTGAATTTTATGATAAACCCAATTAAATCAATAAAATAAGAAACATGTACCTACAAATAAAAAAAAAATCACAAGGTGGGGGGGGGCATCTGGTTGGCTCCGTCAGAAGAGCATCCAGCTCTTAATCTCAGGGTCGTGAGTTCAAGCCCCACATTGGGCATGGAGATTACTTAAAAAAAAAAATCTTTGAAAAATAAATAAGGAAATACAAAAAACCACAAGGAAATGATAGCTGTGAAAGTTAGGATAATGGTCCATACTGGGAGAATTGCAGTGAAGCACGTAGGGACTTCTGTGCTAGTTGGCCAGGTTCCATCTTTTATCTGACTAGTCAACCTTCCACTAATTTCTTAAGGTATATATTTATTTGTATCGTTCTGTATCTGTTTTGTTTGCAATAGAAAGATTTTTTTTTTAACTAAGCAAATTCTAAAGCTAAAAATTATAACTGAAATGGAAAACTCACTAGATGGACCTTCCAGCAGATTGGAGGCAGAAGGCGAGTAAACGTGAAAAGAAAGAGAAATTATCCAGTCCGAAGAACAGAAGTATATTTGAGAAGAATGAAGAAAATCTCAGAGACCTCTCAGACATTTTCAAGCAAATTAACATACATCTAATTGGAGCTGCAGAAATTGGAGAGAGAGAGAACGGGGCAGAAAAAAAACCTTTGAAGAAATGATGGCCAAAAATTTACCAAGTGTGGTGAAAGTTATCAGTTTAGAGATATGAATGACATTATTAACCACTTTGATGGTATTGACATTTGTAGTACACTATACCCAGCAACTTCAGAATATATGCTCTTTTCAAATACTTATGGAACATCACCAAATCCATTTGCTGGACCAATAAAACAAGTCTTAATGAGTTCCAAAAGACTGAAGTCTTACAAAATATATTCTCTGACTACAATGAAATTAAATTAGAATGTCATAACAAGGGGCACCTGAGTGGCTTGGTGGGTTAATCCTCTGCCTTCAGCTCAGGTTATGATCTCAAGGTCCGGCATCGGGCTCTGCTCAGCAGGTAGCCTGCTTCCCCCTCTCTCTCTGCCTGCCTCTCTGCCTACTTGTGATCGCTCTGTCAAATAACTAAATCTTTTTTTAAAAAAAGTCATAACGATACTGTATCTTTTTTTTTTTTAAGATTTTATGTATTTATTTGACAGATCACAAGTAGGCAGAGGCAGGCAGAGATAGAGGGGGAAGCAGGCTCCCTGCCAAGCAGAGAGCCCGATGCTGGGCTCGATCCCAGGACTCTGAGATCATGACCTGAGCTGAACGCAGAGGCTTTAACTCACTGAGCCACCCAGGTGCCCCAATACTGTATCTTTAAATCTCCAAATTTTGAAAATTAGTGAATATATTTTAAATAACCTATGGGTCAAAGAAGAAACCACAGGGGAAAGGGAAGAAACCACAAAGTACTTCAAATTGAGTGATAATGAAAATACTATATATCAAAATGTGTCAGATTCAGCTATAGCAGAAATTTATATATAGCTAAATGCTTATGTTAAAAGAAAGGTTTGAAATCAATAATATAAACTTCCACCTTAGAAAGATACTAAAATGATGAGCAAATTAAGCCCAGAGTGAGCAGGAGGAAGGAAACAAGATCAAAATATCAATGAAAAAGGAAAAACCAAGTGAGTAGAGAAAATTAACAGAGCTAAATGGTTGTTCCCTAAATAGGTTAATAAAATTGATAAACTCCCTTGCAAGACAAAAAGAGAGAAGGCAAATTATCATAATCAGGAATGAAGGAGGGGATATCACTATAAGTCTTACAGATATCAAAAGGATGATAACATGGGAGCGCCTGGGTGGCTCAGTCAGTTAAGAGTCTCTTTTTTTTTTTTTTTTTTGAGATTTTATTTATTTATTTGACAGAGATCACAAGTAGGCAGAGAGGCAGGAAGAGAGAGGAGGAAAGCAGGCTCCCTGCTGAGCAGAGAGCCCGATGCGATGCTCGGTTCAGTCCCAGGACCCTGGGATCATGACCTGAGCCAAAGGCAGAGGCTTAACCCACTGAGCCACTCAGGTGCCCCAAGTGTCTGACTCTTGATTTCAGCTCAGGTCTTGATCTCATGGTTGTGAGTTCAAGTCCCACATTGGGCTTCACACTGGGCGTGGAATCTACTTAAAAAAATAAAACAAGTAAAGGATAATAAGGTAATGTGAACAACTGTGGGTGGTCCTTATTGTTAGTCACAGAGCAAATGCAAATTAAACTTCTGCATATGCACTAGAATGGCTACACTTAGAAAGACCAAGCATATCAAGTGTTGGCAATGACACGTCGCACCTGGAACTCTCAGACATTGCTCGTGGTGACATAAAATGCTACAGTTACTTTGGGAAAAAATTTGCCAGTTTCTTATAAAGTTAAATAAACACTGATTCCTCCGCCTAACAAATCCACTTCTGCGTATTTATTAAAGAGAAATGAAAATGTGTCCATGAGAAGACTTGTACAAGAATATTAAGAACAGCTTTATTCACGGTAGCCCCTAACTGGAAACAACCTCAATGTCCATCCACCGGAGACCGAACACACAAGTGTGTTTTATCCAGACAGTGGAATATCACCTAGCAATAAAAAGCAACAGCCTCCTGATTGAACCAATACCGTGATGGGTCATATAGACATTGTGCCCAGTGAAGAAGGCTTGACACAAAAGAGTACATATTGTATGATTCCTTCTGTCTGTATGATTCCCTTTATACGATAGAAAACTAAGGTGAAAATAATTAGAACAGCCTTTGCCTCTGGGTGTGGGAATACTGATTAGAAGTAACCATGAGGAAACTTACTGTGTCATGATGGGAATCTGCATCTGGATCAGAGTTCTCCAGAGAAACAGAATCCCTAGGTTGTATTATGTATGTGTGTATAAGTATAGATAGGGTGGTTGATTGATTTTTAAGGAATTGGCTCGTGCAGTTGGAGCTGGCATGTCTGCATTTTGTAAGGCAGGCCAGCAGGCTGGAAACTTAAGCAAAAATTGATGTTGCAGATGTGGGAATTCCTTCTCTAGGACAGCGGGCAGTTCTGGCATTTGAATTCATTTAGTGTAGGCTACCATGTGGTATGCATTTCAGCCAACCAACCAGATAGAGCGGTAGAGCCTTTCTGACCATCGAGCTGCGACACTAAATCCAGAATCTCTGCTTAATGGACCTGTTATCAATACATTCAGCCTTATCCAACTTTATGTTCCTCCCATCATTATCCTGCACTGTCCACATACATTCCCACACATATTCCTAGATTTTTGTCTGTGTAAATAGGAAAAATCACATCGTTTTTTTTTGTTTGTTTTACCCCACATCGGGTTTTTTTGTGTGTTTTGTTTGTTTGTTTGTTTGGATTATACTGCACTGCCTAGTGGGTCACACTTTAACATAACCTTTTAGGGCCTGCTGAGGGTAGAATCTGATTATAGGTCTAGAACCATCTGCTAAGGCAGCTACCCCATGGGAGATTCCTGTAGGTTTTCAGTCAAAACAGAGTGAATTTCTTTAGCCGGGGGTAGAAGGGCTGCTTCTGCTGGCAAAGACTCAACAGAATTTAGGGCTCAGCGTTCCCAGCTCTATTGGGATCAGTACATCCATTTATCAAAGTTGTACAGATCAGATTTGTATACTTAAGTGTATATAAAATTTACGAAAGACTCTTTAGTAATACTGTGGTGGGTTGGAGTATGGGTATACTCAGAGATGACACAAATATAACAGGGTTGCTAATGGCTGAACCTGGAGATGGATTATTCATTATTCAATTATATTCAATTATATTGTTCTATTTAACCATTCTTATTAGGGGAATTTAGAGTGTGTCTGTTATAATTATTTTAAAAACTGAATGTTTTTACATACTCAGCTTTTCTGAATTTCAAATATTTTCTTAGGATGAAATCTTAAAGCAGAATTAAAAGGTCAAATTTTATGAGTATCTTTATTAAGGCCTTTCATTTAATTGGCTATACCAATTTACCCTGCCATCAGCTGTAGAAAATACGTATCAGATACCATGCCAGCTTGATATTTTCTCATTTTTTTCCCATGACTGCTAAAGAAATTATTATGCTAAGGACACCTAGAAACTACAAGTTACTAGTAGCCAAAGTATCTACTAGTTTATCTCATGACATCTGCTTTACCTACAAGAAGTGGATCCCTTTGTTATGGTTTGTTGTTTATCTGTTTGTTTATGGTGAAAAAAAAAAAATGAAAAGGACCAAGGGTGAGCCTGGTCTGGTCCTCTGATTGCACTCGTGGCTGCGTGGGAGCATCCGCTAGTCTCAGCTCAGGTTTATCTGCTGATCATTTGAAAAAGAGGCTGTTGGGGCGCCTGGGTGGCTCGGTGGGTTAAGGCCTCTGCCTTCGGCTCGGGTCATGATCCCAGGGTCCTGGGATCGAGCCCCACATGGGGCTCTCTGCTTAGCGGGGAGCCTGCTTCCTCCTCTCTCTCTCTCTCTCTGCCTGCCTCTCTGCCTACTTGTGATCTCTGTCTGTCAAATAAATAAATAAAATCTTTAAAAAAGAAAAAGAGGCTGTTGCCGCCCCAACCTGAAGAGTTATTGCTCTTCCTGTTGAGTGGCGAGGGCACAATTAAGGTCCTGTCAGTACTGATCCACAGGTACTGATTAAGTAATCAACAATGCCCCGTCATCAGTGCCTTGGAGTTTTTCTAATCAAATTTGGAAGCAAACTTCCTGCAATATCCGATTATCCCAAATGTGTTATTTGGTTTTCCTGTCCGCAGGTTCACAGCACCTCAGGCAGAACTCTACGAAGCTGTTCTAGAGATACAGAGAGACTGTCTGACCCTCTGCTCCCCTGGGACAAGCTTGGAGAACATCTACAGCTTGATGTTGACAATGATCGCACAGAAGCTTAAGGAGTTGGGGGTCGTGAAGAACATTAAGGGAAATAATGCCCTCAAGGTACTGCCCTTCTTTTGACCCCGGCTCTCAAAAACACCTGATGTACTGCTGGGGTTTTATCCTATGGAAAGCTAATTAGATTTAGAAGTGGTCTTTTTGAGTCTTCATCTTTAAGAGGGATTTAGAGTGAACCTGAATTAAACAAAAGGAGTCAGTACTTACTTCTCCCAGAAGATGGCAGCACATTCTAGTTCATTGCATCTGTGTAAGTAGCTCAACGTGCAGAAAACAGAAAATGAAGTCTGGTGCCAACAGGGTGGGAAGGGACACAAAAAGCAGAAGAGGTTAACTCTCAATCTCTTTGTGGCGATTTTGAAAAGATAGAAGTGGGGGAGGGTGTCAGTTGCTTCAGTGACATCGGTGAGATGAACAATATCCCCAGGGGCCGCGTCCCTAGTGAATTTCATCTGCATCCAACATGTAATGATGTTCAGTAAAAATGGAAAACCTTAGCTTTAAATTAAGATGCCAGGTGGTCGCGCCAAACAGACCATTATGGCATCTCATCTCCAAGTTTAGGCTGCCAGGGTTTCTTTTATCAGTAGGAAAGACTATAAATTCCTCCTGTTGAAGCCAACAAACCTAATTAACAGATAGGAATATCCAGCCCAGTAAATGCGTTATAATTACTGTGCTAATTTGCTGTTCTGTGCCTACTCCACAAGTTTCCGTGAGATGCTCAGGGTCTCCAGAGCCGGCTTTCTGAGAGGGACTTGTAAACATTGAAAAGAGAACCATTCTAATATAATCATCCTCCCTCCCCCAACAAAAGAGGTTTTCATTTGCTGTAGCATTACTGGGGTTACCCACGTCACATTGTATGTCATATATGAAATAATGGGACAGGAAATGTGAATTAGTTTGAAGGCCATCAGCAGAACTGTATTCAAGAGGTAGAAGTTTGTCAGGTCTCTTGAGCATTAGCCTGAGGGTAGGTGAAACCAAAATGGCAGAACCACGGGGGAAGTGTTAACTCACTGACTTATACATGTCCAGCTTTCCCCTTAAGGGATCATTGCTCTAATATCACTGTGCTGATTACCTTTTCCAGGCTGCTCGAAAATACTGCCCTCATCATGTCGGCCATTACCTCGGGATGGATGTCCATGACACTCCAGACATGCCCCGTTCCCTCCCTCTCCAGCCCGGTATGGTGATCACAGTGGAGCCAGGTAAGGCCAGGTGCTAGCAGCCTCTGAGCCCTTGGGACACCGAATAGTATCAGATAGAAGGGTAAATGGATCCCTTCAGTGGAGATGGGAACTTGATTTTAAACTTTTTTCTTGAACTTTCTTATTTAACATCACACAATTTGTTTAATTTGACTTCTCCAATAAACAACAGATGGGGAATACTTTCTGTAAGTAGATATTAAGAAATAAATCTTTTTTTAAACCCTGCCTTTGCCAGGGCTAATTTTTTTTTTTAAGATTTTATTTATTTATTTGACAGACAGAGATCACAAGTAGACAGAGAGGCAGGCAGAGAGAGAGAGGGAAGCAGGCTCCCTGCTGAGCGGAGAGCCCGATGCGGGACTCCGTCCCAGGACCCTGAGATCATGACCTGAGCCGAAGGCAGCGGCTTAACCCACTGAGCCACCCAGGCGCCCCTGCCAGGGCTAATTTATACTAGTCTCCTCTGCAGTGGTGGGCTGCTCACACCTCTGAGGTCCCAGGTGCTTCTGGGCAGAAAGCTACTCAGACTTACCGAGTTCCCCTCTGCAGAACTGCCCACATTGCTCTCCTTAGGATCTAAGTCCTTTCTCCTGAGCTTCAGGGAAAGCTGGTGATCTAGCGACTCCCCAGCTTGATGATCCAGAGAGTGGGCAGAATTCTGCGGAGAAGTGGTCACAGTGGAATGTAAGGATTGTTGATACAAGAGGAATTTTTAAATACTCTGTTTTGGTCAAGAAAATGGATTTCGGCTCTAGATTTCAAGTGTTTTCCTCTCTAAATTATAGAAATTATAGCTGGGACACCACTTTATACTACCCAGTCCTACACTGCTGTCTGTGGCCTTACGTACTATGCGTTCCAATCTGGTTGGTGCATTGGCGCTTCCTTAGGCTTTGGCTACATATTCCTTCGCTGATCTTTTTCTTTTTATCACAAGGTAGCATCTATGAGTATAATGGAAGAAGTTTCCAGTTTCTTAAATATGAAAAGACGTGTTCTTGTCTGACTTCGTGATTAGAAAGGGTACCTTGGGCTCTTAGAATTTTCCAAGTGTTCCTTAAAGTCTTCCTGTTTCGCTCTTACTCTACATCATGTTTATCAGTTATATTTATGTCTTCTTTGAGTATTTCTACAGCTTGTTGTTCAAGTGAAGTGGGATTTTTTTTTCAATATATTTTAAAATACTTTATATCCCTATTTTAGTAGTTCCCTTTTCCCAGGGGATGATCAGGCAGAGAAAGAATGCATTTACATAATCTGCTGGTTCCCAGCATGTGTTGACATACTCATAAGTAACTGTAGTGGCCTGCTTAAGCCACTAGACTATGACAGAATCATGTAGCGCCTGTAGTCTGGTATACAGAACACCTGCAGTCATAGTTCTAGCAATGACAGCCAACATTAACTGACCATTATGTGCCACACTCTTACACAGATGTACTATCTCATTTAATATCCACAGTTCTAGGTAGATACCCAGTTTTACAGATCAGTTGTAGCGCAGAGAGGTTAACTTGACTGTCCCAGATCATCCAGTTACCGCCACTTATAAACAGCACATTCTTTCTTCTACTTTTCAGGCATTTATATTCCAGAGGATGACAGAGATGCCCCAGAGAAGTTCCGTGGTCTTGGTGTGCGAATTGAAGATGATGTAGTGGTGACTCAGGATTCACCTCTCATCCTTTCTGCAGATTGCCCCAAAGAAATGAATGACATTGAACAGATATGCAGAAGGGGCTCTTGACCCTCGTTGCAGCCCACGTGCATCTCAGGTTTAGAGGGGGTGTATGTCCGTACCTGTACACGTGTGCCGGCCAAGCGTCTCTGCGTATGTTTCTCCAGTGTTCCATTTATGAGTGTGGCAACTGTATGAATGTATGAAACTGTGTATGTGATCCTTATTTGTTTTAAGTAGCTAGAAATCTGGAAAACTGAATTTCTGAACGGTATGTTACTACAACTTTAGTGACATTAACTCTGTACAATTAATGACCAAGGCAGGCTTAATTTTTAAATGTACAGGAATATCGTGGTTATATGTGTCCATGCATTCCAGTTAACACAATTAAACATACAATTTTCTCCTTCTCTCCAGCTCTTTCCCTTTCTACATCTGAGATCTACCTAATATTGTAAGCTGTTGATGATGCTTATATTTTAAGCTAACCACCAGTGTGTCTGCCTGTACTAAAAGCCACCTGTCAGGGATTGTGGGTAGCCAATACATATCTTCCATAACTGCTATCCGTCTCTTCCAGATCTCTGTCTGCTATCCGTCTCTTCCAGAGCCATATGAGCCCTTGGGGGCACCGATGTCCTGCAGTCCCACCGTTCAGCTCCAATCCAGATTCTAGCAACACTAACTAACAAGACAGTTTTGAGTTTTTCTTGCTATTTGGTTGCCTGTGGCCTGGAAAGTGTTTAGATCTTGATGATGGAAGGAACGGAAGAGAAAGAAAAGCGTGTATGTATCTGCTTCAGAGCTACATCTCTTGTCTGTCTGTTCTCAATCTGAAGGAGATTCCTTTCCCAGGCATCCATGCTTTCTTTATAGATTCTTAGTGCACTGACCCTCATAGCACACCCTTGAAGCTGCTGCCCTGGCCAAGGGCAGATCCTCTCTTACCTGTTGGAAGTCAGAGGAACAGCACCCAAGTTTCAGAGAGATGCCCGTTATCATGCTAGAGTGTGTCTAGTGCGATATATGGAACTCACCCGGTACCTGCAAACATGCTATGATCCTTTTGTCTCTCCGACACTAGCACTGGAAGGGCGGGAGTCAGGAGTCCTATTTCCCTCAACACAGCACCGGCTGCGTTTATACAGGAACTCACTTTGCAGAGCGAACGAGTCTAGATTATTCCAGACGGTTTATGCAAGAGCTTCTGTCATAGAACTAGTGTGTTCATCTCCTTTAAACCTGGATATGGGCCCAAAACGTACAAAACATGCTGATGGTTAGAGCATGAATCCAAGGGATTTTAAGGAAGAAACAGGTTAGGGGATTAACACTCAAACAGCCGTGTTCTGACTTTGCTCAGCAGCTATGGGAGTGGATGGCCACACACCTGGATTCTTGTCCCTGGGCCTCCCCAGGGTCCTCCCCACCTCCCTCCAACTTGTGTGCTACTTTCTAAAAGAAGGGACTGAAAATAGATCCGCAAGTCTAGCTTCTCACCCTCTAGGCTTCTGTGACCCCAACAACCCTTTCCTTTGTATTGAGTTTCCTCAGTTCATTTACAATCCTGGAATAAGGAATTTCCTTTCCTTCCTATAAATCATTTTCTGTGGTCTTCAGCTTTCTAGCAAAAAGTCTATGTGGCTTTTATGTATAGCAGCACCCCTGGACATGAAACAGACAGACTGCTTCAGCTTCGATTCTAGTCAAGTTCTGCAGATACTGTGAGTCCTGCTTAGAATGGCTGTGGCAGAATTCTTCTGGTGACTTTTAATTCCCGAGCCAAGTACATTGTCCTTTGAGTCCCAGATTAACCTTAGTAGCTAAGTATTAAATGAGACTACTAGAACCATCAAGAAATGGATGACACAGTGTTTCAGGGCTTCCTGACATGTTGAGGGTTTTTTAAGCAGATGTGATGCACAGTGCAGAAATCTCATTCATTCTTAGCCATGCCACAGACAAGCCCTGCATTTCCTCCATGTCTAAGTATAATACTTCACATATGCACCAGGCTCTCCTAATGGGAATCTTAATCTTTAGAAGTCCTTCTAATGTTACACTGGGATTTTTCTCCCTCAGTTGAAGAGAGATGGTTGGGTCATGAATGATGCCATCTAAATGAAGGAAGCATATCTTCATAGCCTCTGCCGCTTACTTTTGTGTGTTTGTCTCAGAAATTTGTGTTTTTCCTCATAATTGGGAAACAAGACTTTTTTATTTGAAACACAGTAGTAGCAATTGCTGGAGTAGAAACCCTTCTCTTCCCATGGCCATAATATCTAAGCTGGGAATACTTCTCATAGTGACTGAAAGTTCTCTCTGGGTCTTCTTTGAAAACACCCTTATTTTTTCACTAATCTTTGTAAAGTCAGAAAGGGAAAACTCCTACCATAGACATTAAATCTTAATTTGAAATTAGGATCCATGAAATAAGAAAATCCCAGGTGAAGACACTGTAACTCATTAAAATTGAAGAATTGGGCTGTGTTATATTTTTCAAAGCTGACATAACTAACATCATCTTTAGCTTTCTTAATAATAGAAAGATTGCAGATCTGATGCAGGAGTGCTGCCTTTTCTCCTTTATCTGTGCCAGAGATCACAAGTACAGCACAGGGATTGCCCCGCCGCGCCAGCTGTGACCTCAGAGTCCTTTGTAACACTGTGTTTTCCAGTAACTGCTAGAAGAAAACAAAAGTGGGATTTGAGTTAGACCTTGTCTGCCATCCCTCAGCTGGCATATGAGCAATGATAGTAGAACTCGTTTGTGTATGAGTGTGTCTTAGAAACTAAGTGAGGGCCCAGGATGGGGGCAGCATAAAGGACCCTGCTTGCAAGAGATCTTTTATGGTGTGGTTGATTTTTTTAAAATTTTAGTTTCCCGAGGTGGAATCTGAGGCCTAAAACTTAAGCTGATAGGGTTAAATTTTAATCCTGGGAAAATGTAAACACTTCAGCTTATAATGAGAAGGTGATACATCATTAAATGCTAATGTTTAGTTAGAGCAGAAGCCCATTGTCACATAGTACCAGGGTCCTCCTGGCTGCTCTTCTTACCTCTGCCTGTGTGTTACTGAGGAATTTGGGGTGAGCATCAGGACTGCTCAGATTCCCACTGAAATCAAGGCCTCTTGGGATATGCTTCCTGAGAATCTGAGAGAACTGCAGTCTTCGTTAGCATTTACTAATACTTTGTATGATTTTTTGTGCAATTATGTAAGTTCAGTTTGGCCAAAACGCTGTTACTTTTTAAAGCTCTACCCACTGAAAGTAGGTATGTCATTCCCCAACAAGGGAAAAGCATTTATTACTATCATTTTAAAAATAAACTATAAAACTGTAGGAAAGTGTGTGATGTGTGTATGTTATTTTCAAATCTAGAATTTATAGCCTAAAATATGAGAACATTTTGTTTTACAAATGAGGGGTGCCTGCCTGGCTTAGCTGGAAGAGCATGTGACCCTTGGTCTCAGGGTTGTGAATTCAAGCCCCATGTTGGGGTAGAGATTACTTCAATAAATAAACCTTTAAAAATATATGTTTTAGGGGCACCTGGGTGGCTCAGTTAGTTAAGCATCTGCCTTTGGCTCAGGTCATGATCTCAAGGTCCTGGAATCGAGCTCTGCATCGGGCTTTCTGCTCAGCGGGGAATCTGTTTCTCCCTCTGTGCGCTCCCTCTATCAAATAAATAAATGAAATATTTAAAAAAAATACATATATATTTTATACAAAGTATTTATCAACTGCTGTCATAAATCATGATTCGGGGTGCCTGGGTGACTCAGCCGTTGGGTGTCTGCCTTCAGCTCAGGTCATGATCCCAGGATCGAGCCCCACATCGGGCTCCCTGTTTGGCGGGAAGTCTGCTTCTCCCTCTCCCCCTCCCCCTGCTTGTGTTCCTCTCTCTCTGTCAAATAAATAAATCTTCTTTTAAAAAATCATGATTCAATTTATGATCTTGGGCGCCTGAGTGGCTTAGTCAGTTAAGCGCCTGCCTTTGGCTAAGGTCATGATCCTGGGGTCCTGGGGTCAAGTCCACATCAGGCTCCCTGCATAGCAGAGAGTCTGCCTCTCCGCCTTGCTTGTGCTTGCTGTCTCTTTCTCAAATAAATAAATAAAATCTCTAAAAACAAAAACTTAAGATGATCTTATCAGAGGGGAAAAATGAATTAGATCTGGTCCATTAAAAAAATGGCTCAAAGGTCTAATGTATAACATGGTGACTAGAGTTGATAATACTCTTGTGTAATAGAAATTTTCTAAGAGAGTAGAACTTAAATGTTCTCACCAAAAAAAAGGGAGGGGGGAGATAAATATGTGAGGTGATAGATGTGTTAATTAAATAGATGGAACATGCTTTCACAATGTATACTTAAATCATCATGATATACAGTATAAATATCTTACAGTTTTATTACACCTCAAGAAAGCTAGGGGGAGGGGCACCTGGATGGCTCAATCAGGTAAGGGTCTGACTTCCGCTCAGTTCAGGATCTCAGAGTCCTGGGATGGAGCCCCATGTTAGGCTCCTGGCTGAGTGGGGAGTCTGCTTGTCCCTCTCCCTTTGCCCTTGCCCCCACTCATGTTCTCTTTCTCTCAAATAAATAGATCCTTAAAAAAAAAAAAAAAAGCTGGGGGAAATGGTTAACTCCACAAAACTGACCCACAGGTCCCCAGTCAGCCCCTGTACTACTCAAGACTGTGAACTTTGGTCATGAACATTTTATGAAGGATGAATTTTATAGGGAAGTCAGATCAATCTGAAAAATTGTAAATTTGTGAACTTTCTCAGTGAGCCATATAAACAGCCATGAGTGTGGCCATTTCTTCTTAGAACTATTGTTAATATCAGGCTTTCTAAAAAAAAAAAAAAAAAAAAAATCAGGCTTTCAGGGACACCTGGTTGGCTTACTTGGTGGTAGAGGATGTGACTTGATCTCAGGGTTGTAAGTTCAAGCCCCACACTGGGTGTTAAGATTACTTAAAATGTTTTAGAAATAATAAAATTAAAATCTTTTTTTAAGGATTTTATTTATTTGAGAGAGATCACAAGCAGAGGGAGGGGCAGAAGAAGAGGGAGAAGCAGGTTCTCCGCTGAGCAGGGAGCTGGACACAGGGGCTCCATCCCAGGACCCGGAGAACATGACCTGAACTGAAGGCAAACACTTAACCAACAGAACCATCCAGGCGCCCCCATATTAAAATCTTTAAATAAAATCCAAGGCTTTCTCTAAGTTGTACTTTCCAACATTTTTCACATCATGGCATACATAAAAAGGTATTTTTTGTATGGCACAATGGAATAAACTTGAGGGGACTTAGGAATATATACGTGTGACTTAGGGAAAAAAAATTCATTCCATGGTCTTTATGTAATTGTGGTAAGAAAAATCATATGTACTAGTTTTACAAAAATTTTTAAATTTGTATAACACTTCCAAGAAATCATTTTTAGAATGTCAGTAGATTTAGCCCACTTGTGAGAACATGACTTTTTTTTAATACACAATTCCTGATCCAGACTTTTTAGTGATAATATCTTCAGATTCTTGATAATCACCCTCTATAAGAAATTTATTTCTAGGGGCGCCGGGGTGGCTCAATGGGTTAAGGCCTCTGCCTTTGGCTCAGGTCATGATCTCAGTGTCCTGAGATCGAGCCCTGCATTGGGCTCTCTGCTCAGCGGGGAGCCTGCTTCCCCCTCTCTCTGCCTGCCTCTCTGCCTACTTGTGATCTCTGTCAAATAAATAAAATCTTTAAAAAAAAAAAGAAATTAAAAAGAAATTTATTTCTACGAATAGGTGACAAAAAATTTGAAACCATTTTTATGATCATTTAAAAATTATTATTGAACTGATGAATGGATAAACAGGATGCAATATGTCCATACGCTGAAATATTATCTAGCCATAAAAAGGAATGGAGCACTGACACCTGCTACAACACAGACACATCTTGAAAACTGTCCTAAGTGAAAGAAGCCAGACTCAAAAGGCACATATTAGTCCATTTATATAAAATGTCCAGAATAGGCAAATCTATGGAGATAGGAAGTAGATAGTAGTTGCAAGGACCTGAGGGTAGAGGGACAGGTGGGCAGTGACTACTAACAGAGATTCTTTTTTAGGTGATGCAAAACTATGAACCTACAGGGATGCCTGGGTGGCTCAGTCGGTTAAGCAGCTGCCTTTGGCTCAGGTCATGATCTCAGGGTCCTGGGATCGAGTCCCACATGGGGCTCCTTGCTCCGCAGGGAGCCTGCTTCTCCCTCTGCCTTTACCTGCCACTCTGCCTGCTTGTACTCTATCTCTCTGACAAATAAATAAAATCTTCAAAAAAAAAAAAAAAAACTATGAACCTATGAAAAAACCTCAAATTGTATACTCTTAAAGGGTATCTTATGGTATTTAGATTAAATCTCCCTAATTTACTATTGAATTTAAATTTATTTTTTTTCCCATTTTTATTTGACAGAAATTTATTTATTTGTTTATTTATTGTGCAAATAAATAAATTTACTTTATTTTATTTATTTATTTGCACAAGCAGCAGAGTAGCAAGTAGAGGAAGAAAAAGAAGCAGGCTCCTGGCTGAGCAAGGAGCCTGATGTGGGACTCAGTCCCAGGACCCTGGGATCATGACCTGAGCTGAAAGCCGTTGCTTAACCAACTGAGCCACCCTGGCGTCCCTTGAAATTAAATTTAAAGAACCTAACTCCTTTCTCTGACAAATGTGAAACTTCTTATAATGTGGATTTTTGATCAAAGTGAAATCACATCAAATATTTCAAGATGATGAAGCTGTTAATTCACAGAATGTAAACATGCATTTTTAGAACAGTCACCCTGGGGCTAGCTTTGACCACAAAGGTCAGAAGTATTTCATGTATGTGAAGCAGAAAGCCAGGTTGTCTGGAGCTACACCTGCCAAGAGCCCGAGCCCAATCTTCAGTCCCCATGAGGCCCATGGCTAGCAGCACCTCAGGTCCCTGAAACACCTCACGTCCCTTGATGAGCAACAGCAAGGTCAGCAGCTGCTACCAGAGTGGGTGACCACATGGTAGTGCCCCTCCTTGGCCATATTTCAGGGAGTCCAGGACTTCTGGTGGCAAAGTGACAAGGGAGCTCTGGCTGCTCCAAGTTCCATCCACCTCGCCATCCCAAGGACAGAGGGGATCAGCATCTCCCCACACACTAATTTCAAGGCACATCATTCAGGGTATTTAACTGTAAAATCAAGAATTATACTGAATGGAGCTTACTCTGGACATAAGAATTTGTGGCACTATGTAAATATTGATCCAGATTTCCACCAGTTTGCAAAACCTAGTGGTTCTGGATACTTGTCACTAAATGCCGTCTTTCTTTTTCTAGGGAAGTTGAGACTGGGAAGCCTGTGGTGATACATCAAAAATGTTTTTAAAAACAGTCATCTTGAAAATGTTATTCAGGATTTCATTGCTAAGTATTTGGCTTTGCCATCTACATGTTACACAGATTTAAGTCTCTAAAAAGGCCTGGCTGGCTTAGTCAGTAGAGCATGCAACTCTTGATCTCGGAATTGTGAGTTTGAGCCCCACGATGGATGTAAGTTTAATTAAAATAAACAAAAATAAAAAATCTCTAATAAACTATAGCCAACCCCTGCGCTAATTATACTCTGGGCAGTGGACTTTACATTATGAGTGAACAATTCTACTTTACAATAGGGATTACGATGCAGAGTAAATTGTACTTGACACTGCATGAAATACAACAGGCATACAGTCCACCTGCAGAAGCCTGAAAAAGTATGCTCTTGACAAAAATAGAAGAATATGGTGGTTCCTCCAAAAATTAAACAGAGGTACCATTTGATCTAGCAATTCCACTTCTGAGTAAGTACTCAAAAGAACTGAAAGCAGGGACTGAAAGAATATTTGTATACCCACATTCATAGCAGCATTATTCACAATAGCCAAATGATGGCAACGACCGAAATGTCCATCATTGGACGAATGGATAAACCAAATGTGATATATACGTATAACGGAATGCTATTCAACTTTTAAAAAATGTAACATATGTGCTACAGCATGGATGAACCTTTAAAACACGGTGCTATGTGATCGGGGCGCCTGGGTGGCTCAGTGGGTTAAGCCGCTGCCTTCGGCTCAGGTCATGATCTTAGAGTCCTGGGATCGAGCCCCACATCGGGCTCTCTGCTCAGCAGGGAGCCTGCTTCCTCCTCTCTCTCTGCCTGCCTCTCTGCCTGCTTGTGATCTCTCTGTCAAATAAATAAAAATCTTTAAAAAAAAAAAAAAAAAAAAAGGACGCCTGGGTGGCTCAGTT